AGGGGCTAATCCTAATCTTCGCTGAATCCTGAATCTCGCCTAAGCTGAGGTTCATGCAATCCAACTCTGTGCACGGAAGTATAAATGAAATTATGAAAGGTGCATAGATCAGCACACTTTCGGGCAATCGAGGCATTAAATGCGTATGCTTTGAGCTCAACCTAGTCTGGAACCCCTAAGTTGCCCATGGCTCTAACAAAACACAAGGTTACTTTAAAGTTGGTTCCGAGACATTAAGGTACAGAAGGAAACAAACAGGCAGCCCAACTAACCTCCAAAAGAGGCAGCCCTCTCAACCACGGGGCCAGAACTATAACTAGGTGCACCAGACAATGTGCTAAGTTGATGTGGGAATATGGTTTGATGGATTGAGAAAGAAAAACTCAAGCACTGGATAAAACATCAGGTATGAGGCAAAAGAGATTTATAAATGTCTCCAAAAAGGAAGGCAAAGGAATCTCTCTCCCTCTCTCTCTCTCACTATCACTCTCACGCTCTCTCTCTCTCTCTTTCTCTCTCTCTCTCTCTCTCTCTCCTCAGCAGGCAGGATTTGAGAAAAATGGTAGGCCTCTATACCAACCCCCTTAACCAACAAAATATGAGCAAAGCAGACAGAATCATGCATCTTCTGTCAAGAGAAATCCAGACATCCATATTAGCTTGGTTACGATTCTAGCCTATCCATGGCCTCCTAGTCTGGGAGTGGCTAAATAGTATAATGGTCATAAGAAAACGCAACAAGGCTACTTTGAGATGGGTTCCAGGACAACGTATAGAAAGAAACAAACAGGCTGACCAGCTCCCCTTCTCACCCATGGGACCAGAACCACAACCAGGCATACCAGAAAATGTGCTAATGATGGAGCTTGCAAAATGGCTTGAGAAAGAAAAGCCCAAGCACAGGACGAAAGCACAAGGGGCAAGCTAAAAGGTGAGCCACTGTCTTCCTAACTACTGTCTAAAGATGGACAAAGACAGAACCTTGCCGACGCTGTCAAGAGGAACCATACATATGCTTTGTGAATGTGAGGCACTAGAGAAAGGCTATACTAACATAAAAAAAGTCTTATAGGAAAAAGTGCTCTTTCCGAGGTATAGAAATGATTTCAGGAGTTTCACAACAGACCTATAAAAGTCACAGGGATAATGACCCTCTCCATAAAAATATATAAAAATAAAAATACAAAAACAGTCGTACAGACGAAATTGATTTTCTTCTACATCAAAAACGTACTTTGCTGAGAGTTGAAATGACCTATGTGTGTTATGCCTGTTTTTTTATATAGAAAGACTGTATTTGTTGACAAACGGTGTTTACAACTGCGTGGCTCGTGAGGATTCGATTTCAATCCGTCGAGGCCCGGACTGCGTCGACGCTAGAGTTGAAAAGGTCATATCAGGTGCTACAGAGGAATGAAACCGATTAGACGAACACAAAGGGACGAATGGAAGAGGCGGCAGATTATGAGAGGCCGAGGAAAAAGAGTCATTACAGAAAGGTACAAAAGGGCATTGAAGTCTATTTGGACAAAAGATTTGACTCCTACGAGAGTATCTGTCGAACAATATGTCGTCACTCTGAGTGCAGAGGCCTGGGGGCCACTCAGCGAAGAACGCTGAAAAAACAACAGGATGAGAAAGTTAGACAATACGATCCCCATATAGGCTTGACGGAGAATGCCAGATGTCTTCCCAGCACGGTTTCCTGGATCTTCATTAAAGCTCAGATCTATCCCGCTGGGTTTTCATCTCGCGCTTAATCGTCTCGCTTGTTATCCCCCTTTTCAATAGGCACACGCCACCCTCGTAAACGTTATGATCCCAGCAAACAGCGATGTCAATCCTTCCAAGTTTTAACACATTGTATAATTTATTGAAAATTATTGGAATTTGAAAAAAAATTGAAAAAGCTCTCAGCAGACGGAAATACAATACGAAAAACCAAAAAATTGAGTACGTTGAAAAAATTTTCAATTTTAATACAACCCTCTTGGCAAAAGTTTTGCCCTTTGCGGTTCAGTTTCAAACAAGATTGAATCAAAGCAAACCTATCACCGCATAACTATCCGCAATTATCCGTCGTAATCGGTGATAAATCCCTTTGAACATTTCACATCGAGATACGACGTGAAATACTAATGGATACTTTATTGCCTAGAACGTGATCCGGCCTAATAAATACGCCAAGGGTATATGGTAAGGGGCGCGGGGCGGGGGGTTGATTAACCATCGTATACCTATAGTGTATCAACCAACCCTTCTCCTCTAAACATCAACCCCCCTACAAGCTTTTCATTATGTCCTCTTAACTCGGGCACAACTAAATGAAACGCCTCAGGAACAGTTATTGCATCAACGGGAGTAATTCCGGTCGAGTAATCTCCTCACACGGGGGTGGAGATCCAGTACTTACTCACACCCGAAGTTTCCCATCGCCCCACACTCGATCAACACTAAATATATCTAGTATTCGAGTGTAATCCGTCTCACGAACCTTCTCATTCTACACTCTCATTGTTTTTATTTTCTACCGTCCAAAGGATACAAAATTTACATTTCGTGGGACTTTTTGTTGGTTGATGGTTGCAGCACCTTTATTAACTCCATCTGATCTTGGTTCTCTTTCACCCTAGCTTCTCTCCATCAACTCTTTTTTCAACCAGACAGTCCTCCATTTTCGAGAAATAATCTTAGTTTTATAGCATTTGCCAGATCTGGTTTCCTGCCAGGTTTCCTTATTTCCTGGTTTCTCCAGCTACTCTCGAACTGTATGAACGTATGTAAAAATACGTATTTTTTCTTAAAATACTTATATCAATAGTGAGATTACAGATTTTAATGAAACTTTTTTTGAAGATTCTATATCGAAAATATTAGATATGTGTCCGAGCGTTCTTGCTAATGGGGCCAAAGAGCCAAGAAAATATATGTTAAGTAATTTAAATAATTTTTTAAAATATGTGTTCCTGCCTTTATTGAGCACGCATTTCTAGGTTATTATATGCCTATATATTTTTTTTATGTAAAATAATAAAATATTACGCATTGAATGAGTGAATGCATGAATTTATTGAATGAGATCAGATATACATATAAACAATTACAAAAGCCTGAAAACGCTTTAAGTAAAGTAGGCCAAAATATTTTTTTTCTCGAAAAATACAATTTGAATTCGTTTTAAGCATCCTCTAAAGCTCCTAAATACCAATTTTTATGCCAAACAAAAACATTTTTTGGGCTGGAAGGGTAGGGACGATTTTTTATTTTTCCGATGCCGCATTTTTCAGTTAAAACTTTAACTCCTCCGAATTTCGTAAGAATCCGGTTGCATTGCAATAGTTAATAAGCTGTATTTCTCTCATTTAAACCTATATCAATTTTGTAATGTCATTATCATCGAGAAAATTAATTTTACATTTTATGTAAAGTATCTTCGGTTGTGACATAAGTTTGTAAATCTTTGGACAGTTTCCTGTACATCGGTCGAGTCATTGAAAGTTGTCACTATTTTTGTGATTAAAAAAAAAATCGAAAGTATTTGAGAAAATTTTTTCCTGATTTTTACAAAAATTTGTGTACAGGGTTTTTTGAGGTTAAGAGTAGGAGTATCAACTTTGTTTCTTGGTAAAAAAATATTTGAACCTGCTATGCGTCGTCTGGTGACAAATTATGTATTTCAATATCTACGATAACCCTATTATTGTATTTTCCTTCAAATTAACCCTTTTCATGACAAATCTACTAGTTTATTACTGATATTGCGTTGATGAAGTTTTGGATGTGTACTTTTTAAAATAAAAATATAAAGTACGCCGTTACGTACTAGGGCAAGGTTGTATAGCTTTATTCCCTTTTAAACCCTTTTTACCTTCAAATTAATCTTTGTTAATTCACAATTAACCCTTTTTTATTTTCAAATTATCCTTTTCCGATTTGAAGTTAATACTTTTTCTCGTCAAATTAATCTTTCTCATTTCAAATTTGCCTTTTTTTAACTTCAAATGAACCCTTCTTATTTTCCAATTGTCCTCTTTTTTAAATTAAAACTTTTACCGTCAAACTAACTCTTTTTGATTTAAAATTAGCCTTTTTTTACTTTCAAATTTACCCTTTTTAATATCAAATTAACCCTTTCTTTACAACATCTTAAAACCTTGTAGATGGTATGACATATTAGCAGATGAAATAAACTTCCTTCATAATCCTGAGTTCTTTTTTATTATTACGATTCTTCTTTTAATTGTGGTTTTTTTAGATATAAAATAATTGGACTCTTAAAAACTATATGAAATTTATATAATTACAACTAGAATTAAAAATTATATAAAATAATTTTTTGAGATGTTTTTAAGTAATAATATAAAATAATTGTCCTCTAAAAAACACCATTTTTCAAANGACTCTTAAAAACTATATGAAATTTATATAATTACAACTAGAATTTAAAATTATATAAAATAATTTTTTTGAGATGTTTTTAAGTAATAATATAAAATAATTGTCCTCTAAAAAACACCATTTTTCAAATTAAAAAAAGAATCTTTTAATTTTATGTTTTATTTTATATCATTCTCCATTATAACTGTATGTGTATAATACTTTACGTCCTTACATTTCATATACCTCATATGTTTTTTGACACGGTAAGTTTGAAATTAAAAAGAGTTAATTGGATGTGAAAAGGGGTTAATTTTAAATGGTAAAATTTACGGAAAAAGCTGTATTGCGAGCTGCCTAAAACAATTTTGATGTAGTGTCCGAGCACTACGTATTTTCAATTTTCTTATTTTATATAAAAAACAAGTCGATTAATATATAAAATAAACAACAAAGGCAGAATATTATATTTGAAAAAACTATTNCTAAAAGCCTTAATTAATTATAGTCTTCATATTTAAAGAATAAACGTTATCTTCTCAGTCTGATTTACGTCGATTTCAAAATATTCTCAAGAGTTCCATATATTAACTGGAATTTTCGACGTTTTCCTATGTTCGCAGGTATCTTCAATCAACCGAGTACTTAGGAACCTCGCCGCCCAAAAAGAAGTCCAGGTGCCTTGTGCCGTCTCCCCGAGCACGGATATCGTCTACGACAAACTGAGGATACTCAACGGCCAGTCAACCTCGTGGCCCAGGCCGACCCACTGGTGAGTATCAAGTCCGGTTATCTCTGTCAAAACTCCGCCGATGACTGCGGGATCCGGCTTCGGCTAGGACCCGCAGGTAGCGTCCGGCGTAGAAATTGAATCGGCATCTTAAGTAGCGTGTAACTCGGGGCTGAACAATGGGTTTTGTTTGTTTCCCAGGTATCCAAGCACAGGTGGAAGCCCCTTTTCATCAATTCAACCGACTAGCGTGAGCCCTTCAGTTCTGGCCGATGTCACAGACCTACCCTCGTCAAAGAAAGGTAGGTTTAACACCTTTTCCGTAGACGGTCATTAAACGTTATTGACAATTCGGATTGACTTGTTTGCAATTCGATACGTTTTCCCACTCGACTACCAGAGTTTTTTTTCTACCGGAAAACATTTAAAAATGACTTCTGCAGCTCCACCACTCGAGAATCGAACATAAAATTGTTGCATTGCATGATCGACGAAGTCGAAGGGACGGTGAATCGTCAAACAAGATAGGAATCACTTAGAACAAAAACTCTCTTAAATTATTGTTGAATAATTTAACCCACCCTGACAAATTTTTTAATGATTACAATAATCTCTGGTTACACATTATGTTATCTTTAATCTCCTTATATCGGTTGATCATTAATTCTAAATATTTTAAAATTATCATTGTCCATGAAAAATTCATTATTTAAAAAACTTAAGACAGGGGTGTAAATTTATTACATTTTGCAATATGCACCTCTTGATTTTACCTGATTTTATACAAAAAAAGAAACAAATGTCCGTTCGAGAATAATTCTCTTCTCTTCCGAACGGAATATTTTTTAATAGATTATACGCTTTGTGAGACAAAAGTATTCTATATTAAGAATTAAGATTTTAAAGTTTCCTTTTGATATGGTGCTGGGAAAAGTGGGAAAAGTGGACGAGCTGATGGACGAAAGGGTGAAGGGTGACCACGTCGTGAATAAATCAGGCGAGGCAATTGCAAAACGGTCGTTAAATAAGGGGATGCCGGACAATATCATTTATTAAAAAAAAGAGAAAAAAAAGAATGAATATATTAACAGAGCAAATAAAAAGTGCATCTCCCGGGAAAGCACGAAAGACTACGAACTTTTTTTTCCATAAAAGTCCCTCATATTAACTTTTCTCTCATAGGAAAACAATTCTTCAAGTTTGGTAAAAAATCGGTTGGAAAAGTTCTAATAATCCATTTTAATCTTGAAAATTATGAACCATTGGAAACGAAAGGGCCACGGCCTCGGGGTATATTTCCCGTGACAGGCTTAAAAAAGCTTAGCGTAAAAGCCGTATCGCTCAGTCGTTGCACTGTAAGGACACGTGTCAGGACACGTGTCTTCGTGTGACGATGGATCGGGGCTGATGTTGCGACGGCCCGGAACGGATCCGATCGGCTCGCCTCGGCGTCTACAAGTGGGAGACGAAAAGTGATGTTTCCGCTACGGAGATGAGGTCGGTTGCCTCGAGAGAAATATATTGTACTAGGGACTATGACGACAACAAGTGGCTTATTACCACTACTTTGCATTTTTACGTCTTGTTTTTCGAAGTGGATCGGTTCTTATACCTTTCCAGTTATAGCATGTTCAACATTTTTATAAAACAGTAAATGGACAAATTTTAGCTCAACTGGATTCTCAATCATTAGGTCGATTGATTTCGAACCATACAAATTATTCGGCAGTCTAAAAAACTATAAAATTCGAAACAAGGACTGATATTCAAATTCCAAAGGTCTGACCAGTCAAAAATCGATCTGTCACTTCCGGCTTGATTTTATCGCCTGATTATCGGATAAGGCCGAGGAGGTCTCGGGGCCATCCTCGTTTGGGGCGACATGCATGATCAGTTATTAAAGGGAATATAAGCCAATATATATAAGCATACTACGTTTTCAACCCCACTATGAAAGAAGATCATAACATTCCCCTAAGAAGCTTAGAGAATTCTTCTGAGCACTATTGTTTGAAATACTTAGACCGCTAATTAGACCGCCGTATGTCCAAATACGTTTAAGTAATATTTTGTACAATGTTAGTTGGTTCAGGACAGTCATGTCTGATTTCGTTCCTAGAACGTCATCTGTTTAATTTTGTCGCTTGAGTTTTGTGAGACACATGTCACGTCTAAGTATAGCCTTAGGTTTATAACCTGTGTATATATCGGTAGTTTCTTGTCGTAAATTCAAAGAGGTGGTCAAATCTGTTTATTTAACGTGAACGTAAATTGGGTGCATTTCTCCTCGCTCTATTTCATTTTCCACATTTTGCACAATTCTTCTATGAGTTCAAGGTGCTCCTGGATACGGTAGGTTGTTCGGGTAGGAGATAAAATTGCGTAGGTTGCAAGCTATTGGGATGTACAGGTCAGCAGGTAAATAGTAAGATGGGACCAAGAATGTTGCCTTGTGGGACGCCAACTTGGATCAGTCTTGTCCGAGAGAACTCATTGCCGCACCTTACTTTGAAGCAACAATCTGTTTTCTTCGTTGAATATTTTAGGATTAGTCAATAAGGAGAGATTAGGAACTGTTTCAGTTTGAAAGAACTCTCCGGTGAAATACTCTACCAAAAGCATGGGAGTCTCTTTTCTTCAAAACAGAAGAAATAGTGTCAACAAGCCTGAGGCATTGCTGTATCGTAGGAAAGCGTCGGAAAAGGAATTGATAAGACTGAATGGTTTTATGTAAGCTAGGATGGGTATTAGGCGTTTCAAAGTTAAATCCAAGGATTTTGGACATTACAAGGCGAAGTATGCTAGGTCTGTAAGAGGTTGGGAAGTTTGTAAGGTTTATGTCTGAGAGTGACTATGGCATATGGTGTTCTTTGGAAGATATTTACCAACCATACGGTGTGCAGATCTATTACTTTGATAGTGATTGATTGATTGATTTATATAAGTTTGATTCTGCACATTGGCGTCAGTCCTCGATTTTATCCGTACCATCACCGAAGTACTCCGGTTATCGACAACAAGATCATTTCAGCCCCCAATGCATGCAGTTTTAACCTAAACACACTCACTTTCGTTCTTAAATACACTCACGTCACACATACCATTCACATAAAGTTGGATGATACTCGTTATTCATCTTTTATACACACAAACAACTGTACTCTAAGGTCTAATGGAAGACGATGATATACTTGATCGACGCTCTTGTACTACACATTCACGCTTATAAATACTCTCTCACGTAACAGTTAACATAGAATCATCTATCACACCATTACTTAAAGAAGAAAATGTACTTTTGAAATTAAGGTAGTCGAATATTTGATTTTTTTGGTAGGTCATCATGGACTTGTTTGAACTGTAATTGGAAGAACGAAGCTTAAAGTTAAATTTTCTCGACAATACTCAATTTTGATCAATACTCAGTAACTTAATCGCGACTTGGAATTTTTTAACATATGTTTTTCGTATTAGGCAAGTGAGAGGCAAGTTGTATGCAAATTCGCCGTGAAACTGGAATTTCTAATTTTTATGCAAAGACGGTTGAGAAGAAAAATTGGAAATAACTATTAATAGTAAACCGATAATTAATTAAATAAAAACTGGAATTGATTGATTTAGCGAGAAAAACCACATCGAAATCGAACATAACAACATTCCACTCACGTCTTTAGTTTATGAAATAATTCCCCCGCTGAGAATATTCCAGGAGCGATGGTTTCCAGTCAATTAAATGACAAAAAGAGTCGGTCATGTCGGGGGAGAGCGGAATGCCAAATAGTTGGAAAACTAGGAGCGGATTGATCCGTGTCAATGGCACGTCCCGATCAGGCATTTTGAACTCGAAAGGGTTCGAACGGAATATTTTAAAAAAAATCCCTCAAATCCTGGTCCCCTTTCAACTGTTTTGTTTGTGACGTGATATTGTTACTGTTGCTGATTCGCCCCCGGCTACGCGTTTGATGCTACTTTGTACTGTATCTCTTGCATTCACTAGCTCTCTCTCTCTCTTTCTCTCTCTCTCTCTCTCACTCTCTCTCTCTCTCTCTCTCTCTCGCTATATCCCTCTTTTCTGCCTGTTCCGGGCCTTCCTAACCCCTCGCGCTCTCGCTTTCCATGGCTTTACCATAGCCTCCACACTCTCCCCCTCGACAACTTCGTTCTATCTCGTCCGATACAATGTTGCAAATGACACATCCCCTCTCCCCTTAGGGCTTATCAATTATCAACTGCATTAAACTAAAACCACAATCGACTCTACTTCCCCACTCTTATTCCGTGTATCCCTTTGTGATACATTTATGGTACAATTCACTAATTTCAGTAATACGTTCATATGAACAATCGAAATGATCATCCCCTATTTCTGGAAAGCTGAAATTTTAGATTACTTCCATTACTGTACTAGAAAGCCAATACAATTAATTCAACTATGTATTAGCGCAATAGACAATATTGTGCATTTTAGTAACTGTTTTCAATCAAAAGCAGGTTATAGTTAATGTTTATTAGTTTTTCGGAGGTTTTGTCTAATACGAATATGCCTGAGGATGACGAAACGTACAATTCAAATGTGAGGTTTGTTCGTAAAATTGATGCGTCGATTAAGACAACCTGGCGGAGTAGAGATCTTTCGAGCAGTAGGGTTAGGATGGATCGAGATGCTAGCGTGAAAACTTTTGGAATCGGGAAAGGATCAGTTCGATGACCAAAGGAATGTTGAGGTCGTTGAGGATATTGAGGTTAGTGACGTAGAAAAGAGCTTGAACGATTTCTCTGAGAACTTTTGATCGTATGGATTGGATATGGGGATACATTTAAATATGTTAATACTCCGTTCACCAGGTGACCAATATGAGCAATTTTCACCAGCTTGGGTGCCATAAACTCGGGCCCATCTTGTGAAGTGAACAATTTAAAAAAAACGCAATAATACAGTAAATTATTGTTTAAAAAAATTAACAGTTTTTGACTTGTTTGAAATATACAAGCCCCATATTTAAAAACATATCCGCTGGAAGTTAGATAGCTTGGCAGAACCCCACAGTTCAACTCCGTATGTGCAAAATGGTCGCAGTAAAGCCTTGTATGAGGTTAGTTTAGTTTCGACGGTTAAATCGGTCCCTGAAGTCTTCGTAGTTGTCCTCTTTTAAGTTTTGTATTTGAAGTCTTGTGGGGATTCCACGCGAGTTTGCTGTCTAGGCTCGACTGACTCTGACTTATGTCTTAAGTATATGATTTGAAGTCTGTATCTCTTTGTGGTTGAAGTAAAGTACAGGGCAAGACAATTTTTTCAATGTGA